TCCCTTTTCTTTCTCCCTTTCTGCCTGCATATAATGCAAAGTACATATTTTGTTTCAGATTGTTGATTGTGCTATATACATTTTTGTAAATGGTACTGTTTTCAGGCACCATTGAGTCAACTAGAACTCACAGAGACCCTATGAGCAACAGATCTGAAACTTGTCCTATCCTCCAACACCCTAAAAAAATGTCACTGTTGCTGTTATTATGTGTCTTGGGAAGTGACTCGTTAGGTGACTCCTTAGCGGGTTTTCAGAGGCTGAAAATTTCTCAGGAGGAGATTGCTCATCTTTTTCTCTCAGAGCAGCTGGTGGATTCGAACCGCTTGCCTTTGGGTTGGCAGTACAACTCCTTCCTAGTAGGCCACAAGAGCTCCCTTGAGGATATAGTAAAGAATCAGATTTATAGGACCCGAGGGGTGGAATTAAGCCTTAGGTGGTACTGCCCCATAATCCACCACACTTACCTCACCAGTTAGCACGCCTATGAAGAATGGACAACAAATCACAGTCTCAATCTTGCCACACTGGTATTGCCAATCCCTTTAATTTTAGCTTTCCTACTAGAAATTCAAAGTTAGTTTTAAATTACTGTTTTTAAAATGTAATACTTTGGTCAAAATTTTATATTTTTTTTTAAAAAAAACCAACAAAAAAACAGTGGCCTATGGCTGTTCCAAGAAGCTCTTGCAAGCATTCAGCATTTCCCAGAGGATGTGTGGGCGTGTTTCTGCCCGGTGCCATAGTCACACATGGATGACGCCCCAGACCCACCCACCTTGCCTTGGAACGGACCACTCATTTCCCCACGAACAGGAAGAACTTAGCTGGGCTCCCCCAGGGAGATGTTTCTCATCACCAGCCACATCTGGGGAACATCTGGTGAGCTCATCCCAGCCCAGGGAGATGCTTTCCTGGAGAAAACATATCACTTAATCGATGCTGTTAATTCTCCCATGTTTCCTTTATTCTCTCCTTGTCTTCCTGCCACCGTCACCCCCAACACCAGCCCCTAAGCCTACCACCCATCCCCTCGGTCTCTGATCCTTCTTATTTCCCCATACACAGCCCAGCGGGGCGTCCTGTTAGAATATTTGTGTGTGTATACCGTCAAATCAGATCTGACTGGTACAGAAGGAGACTGTCCCTCGAATCTGGTGGATTCGAACCGCTCACCTCTGGGATTGCAGTGCAGCTTCTTGCCACTAGGCCACCAGAGCTCACCTCCTTTTAGGATATTAACTCTATTGCCCAGTTCCCTGAACAACACGCAGCATCTTCTAGAAATGGGAATGGCAAGAAATGCTAAAATTTATTAAATGGTGACAAATATCCCCACTTTATAGACTGAAAAACTGAAGGAGAGAGAGAGAGAAAGGGGGGAAGGGAAGGACGGAGGGAGGCAGAGAGATGGAGAGAGAGGGAGGCAGAGAGAGACAGAGAGACAGAGAGACTGAGACCTAGAGCCAAAACATGTGAACTCCCCTCTAGGCGTCATGAAACCAAACCCAACACACCTGCTGTCAGGCTGGTTCTGATTCACACCACCATCACCCTGTGTATGTGTCAGATCGAAGCTGTGCACCACAGGGTCCTCAAGCGCTCATGTCTCAGAAGCAGATCTCTTGGGCTTGTGCCTCTGGGTGGCTGTCAACAACCAGCCTTTAAGTCAGCAGTGAGCATACTAACCTGCTCTCGGGACTGGAGGCAGCTAGGCAGGTGATGAGTATGGAGAGCAGAAGGGAGGCTTGACAGAGGCTGCAGCTGCTAGGCTGAGTGTCTTGATGGGGCGGTGGGTGAATGGCTTGGAGGAGGGGGTTTCTGCCTGTCCACAGCCCTGAAGCCTGAGTCACTTCCACCCAGCTTCCTCCTGAGCTGCCTCGACCACACCTGGGCTTCGGCAGAGGTTCTGTCCAGACCCCCTCCCCATCTCCACCTCCAGCCTGCCCTCCCCTTTTGCCCTTGCTCCTTGCACACATTCCCAAAGAACATTTCTTTCATTCAGAAAGTCCTCACAGAGCACCAGAGACCAGGCAGCGAGCGACCAGATCAGACACAAGCCCTCACCTTCCCATTGCTCACAGTTCAAAGGGGTGGGGGGCGCAGAGACCATACTAAAAGAAGTATATGAATAAGGTATGCAACTAAGTCAGTCCAAGGCTAGGTATCAGGAATCTTGGTCAACGAGACCAAGAGAATGTAACCCAAGAACTGCAAACAGGGTCAGAGGTAGTCATGATGGGGGAACCTGGGTACAGAGAGGAAGAAACACGATGATATAGAACCGAGCATCTCATGCGTGGATCCATGTAAAATCAACACCATGGAGGCAGTCAAGGAATTAAAAGCCATGTTGAATTGGGGAAATTGGCTGTCAAGGACCTTTCTGGAGTTCTAAGGAGTAAGGGTGTCAGTGTAAAGACTAAGGTGCCCAATTCAAGTCTTGATGTTTCCAATTGCTTCCCAAGCATCTGCAAGTTAGACAAGGAATAAGAAAGGCAGAATTATTGATGCTTTTGAATTATGATGCCGGTGAAGAGTACTGACTACACAATGGACTGCCAAAAGAACAAACAAAGCTGTCTTAAAAAGTGCAACCAGAGTGCTCCTAAGAGGCCAGTGTGGTGAAATTTCATCTCACTTATTTGGGATGAATTTTCAGGAGCAATCAGTCCTTGGAGAATGACATCATGCTGGGTAAAGTAGATGCGTAAAAGAGAGGAAGGCTCTAAGAAGATGGACACAGTGCCACACTGGGCTTGGGCATGTCAGATCCAGACAGGGAAAGAGGTTCAAGGGTTCTTAGGAGTCAAGGTTGACTTGACCACACCCAGCAACATCTCATGTATAAACAAAAACTGTGTCGTGCCAATGGTAAAAGCACATATACACACACCAAATGGATTACAGTGTATGGGGTGGGGAAGGGTTTTGGAGGGAGGCAATGAAGAATGGTGAGAGTGCAAAGGTCAGCAAACCCCAAAGCCCAAGGAGACTTAATGGACTAAGGGGCTGCTCATTCAGCTTCACAACAACTCTATAGGAGGGTGGGGGTGGGATGGGCTGGGGCCGGATTAGTCAAGCCTCGTAGGCCCCAGGGCACAGACTTCAATCCTGGAGGTCCCGGGAGCCTTGGCTCCTGTTAACCAGATAGTGCCCTCTGCAGGGTCCTGAGTTCGCACACAGTGCATTCCAAGAGGGGCAGCCGGACTGCACCCTCCAGTGGCCTTTCGTATTGTTCTTCCCTGTGAAAGGTGAGGGGTGGGCTGACCTCTGCCTTTTCTTCTCGACGTGCACACTCAAGACTTCAGCCTTATTTCTACCCCAAAAGCCGTGTAGGCCAGATAAAACGGAACTCCCACCCCCACTAGGAGGGTAGAATGGAAACCCAGGGGCAGGGCTAATCACTGACAATTCCTCCAGAACCGTCCAAGAACCCAGAACGCCATAGGACAAGGACTAAGGGCTGGGGAGGGGCCGGGTCGGGCCCTCCCGAAGGCTCCCTGGAGGAGGCGGCGCCATCCGGGCCTTTAAAGGCGGTGGGATTCTGGCAGATTAGAGTGCTGAGAGCTTGTCTCGGCTAGTGAGCTGTTGTGGCAGGGCTGTGTGAGTGGGAAAACTCAAGAGGCGAGAAGGTTGGATCTGTGGGTGGGCTCCGGCCCCAGGGCACGAACCCCCAGCGCACAAGGCAGTAATGAACCTTGAAGTAAGAGGTGGCTTTGGGGGGTGGGGAAGCAAAGAAAGTACTGGACCTTGTTAAGTAGCCAGGGAAGGACCAAGCTCTTTTTTTGCCCCCTTCAAAGTTGAGGACGGCGGGCGAGGTGGGGGGAAGGAGATGAGGTGTGTGTGAACCCTGAATCCAGTTTAGGGTGTCCTGTCGGAGAAGGTTGGCCCTTGGGCAGAGATCAAGACCACAGATGACCCTTCCACCCCCTCACCCCAGAGATGACCCCCTTACCCTCCCCACCCCCCC